CTCTTTGTCTCCCACTCCATTGACTTTTATCAGTCAGCTAGCTCACTTCCACCCTTGATTATGTAACTCGTATTTACTTTATAGATCACTCCCCAGTTTGTGCTATTTTAGTTAGTATCCCATGAACCATCATGTGTTTACATTTTGCCATCTTAGCCAATCACGTTAGTGCATCCACGGCGTCCCTTAGTCTTGGCTACTCTCATCTCATCATTCAGTTCCTGCTTTCATACAGTGAGCATCGTTCAAGTTACCTCCCACCCTCCCATCATTACAGTCTGCTTCTTTATTTTGTTTTTTTTCCTCTGTACTTTTTTCATGTTTTGGTTATTTATCAATAAATACAGCTAGGGGGGGGGATTGTCACACAGGGAATCCATACTCTGTTTGGGCAACACGTCGCACTTGCCCCGAGATGAGTTGAAAGTTACAACTCGCCGCGGGACATAGGCCTCAATGACGCCTACACACAGAGTACCCTTAGGTGGCGCCCTCACTCAAGTACCACGTCGTCCTTGCCATGATGTTGGTCAAAGGCGACCAATATCATGGAATAGACGGCTAAGACGCTTGTACGCTGAGGCTCTCGATCCCCCTACTTTTTCTCGCATATCAGTCTCTTGTGTCATTTCTAGTGCGTTAAATGTATTTTGAATTGAATGTAATTTTTTTAATGAGCCATATGGACCTACGTATATGAACTGAATATTTGAGAGTTGGGTTGTTTGACTGATTTATTTTACAAATTCAGATAATACTATTATTCATACTATACTTCATGTAGATGATTCGATTATTAAATAATTAATAAATATATATTGATAATTCGTGATTTTATACTATATCCATGCAGTCACTTGAAGGCTGAACATTCGATCAATACTAATTATTATACCCCTCCCTCCGATTTTTCATTCCTACATACCGATGTTAAATCGGGAAAAATAATGCAACTAGTACTTATCGAAATATTCAGTGACAACATGACAACATGAAGCAATGCATTTGTCATTTTGTCAAGTTTTAAGGATGTCCACATAGGTCACGTACATTTTGTGACAGTCCCTCAACAACAAGAACGTAGACAACATGTACACTGATACACACTGCTCAATAACACTGCGTCAACATATCAATAGCCCAAGCATGTGCGTGCGTAGGCATTGTCGGAAACAAGCCAAAAAAAAACGCGTTTCATCAAAGACACCAGTATGAATGTGCGGTCGCACGTTTGTGTTGTTGATACACGTCATCGCTAATCCGACAGTCTTGTGTCCCATAAAACTGAGTTTGACTTGCCAGATATATGTATATGCAGTTTCAATGCTTAAATAAAACACTTCACACTAGGTTCGAATGCGTAAACTATTACCTGATATTAGCGCTAGAGGAACAGTCAGAATATACAAGATAAACAAGCGCAAAAGTTCGTCCGCAACAGTTCCAGGCGTCGCCATTTTGAGAAACTTTGAGTTCAACTTTGACCTCTGGGAAATTCCATTTTTTTCCTTCGCCGAGGAAGCATAACACGTACATGATAGAGTGTTCTTCCAACCACTTTGTTTTTGTTTTTAATTTTTAATTTTAGTTTTTAATTATTTTTTTATACAAATATCTCTCGTACTCACTTTATCTAACAAATAAAGCTAATTAATATTACATTAGTTAAATTTTGAGCAGCCACCCCTATATCGAAAAAGTGTTTACAAACATAACTTCCGGGTTGTGGGCTAAGCGTCGAAAAACATGGGACTTCTAGAAAAATCTCGATTTAAATGATATTTCTAATCATTTCACAACGGTTTTCTGTAACTCGTGACGCCAATGAATTGACCAAGACTAGTTAGATTGCTATTTATGTAAATTTGATTCGGTTATTTAACCACAATTATGGAACAAGACGTCGATCTGCCGAGGGTGAAGTTCGACCCTGACGCTGGTATTGATAGTTCTGAAAGTCAGCGTGACTGTGACAGCGATGGATCCATGGTCAAACCCAAGAAGAATGCCGCTGATCGAGAGGTCTGTATATATAATTTTAAATAACAGTGGTTCACACCGGCGCAACGCGTACACTTATCTAGTAAGTAAACTCAGAAACTCGAATACCAGAACAAACGGAAGGAATCGAAGTGCTTTGTTCATTTGGACATTGATTTTGTGTTCTCCAAGATCTGGTATTTGGTTGATAATGTACGGACTTGTGTTGGGAAGAGTCTCACAGTTGTGCCCGCACTGATACGCTCGGAAGACAAATCTCTTTCAGTCTTTGTATCATGGAACAACCGTATAATATATTGGGAAGGTTATTATAACGAATGAAAATATTGTTGTTTTTATATGGACAACACGTGGTAGCAATGTGCGATTGGAAATATGCAGTGGGAGTCCAACATTATAATACCATAGACAAACATACAAGTCGTTCACTACTGAACCTTTTATCAGTGCACAACGCCCCAAAATGCTCAACAACTGACTTCCCACCAAAGAACACAAAGTGTTATACATGTACATGACAAGGTGGTATGTTAATGGATATGTAACAGCTGAAAAAGTCACATACTACAGCAAGTTACTTCAAAAACAGAGCAAAATGTGAAATTATTTGTCTCTCTGCCTCTGCCTGACCTTGGGCACAGGGTTAAGCTCATAACATAAATAGAATCCTTATTTCAATAGTAACAGAAAACTAAAATCATATAGTTTTCATATTCATATCGAGAAATATTAATATTTATATTCTCCCACTACTACGTGTACACAGACACAGAATGGTATTGGTTGGTTCAGTAAGTTATTGTCCTTGTGTGTGTGCGTGGGGGGGGGGATTGTGTGCAGCATGGAGCTCTATGTGGTTAGCTTGCTGACTTTGAAATGAATGACTTGTTTGTTTGTTCATGGTATTATAATGCTGGACTTTGACTAACAGTTGGCTTGGCCTTTTTCATAAAAACTTATAATTTTTAAATTGATTGAGTATCATTGCCATCAATGATTCTAACTTATTCATTGAAATATTTATCTATATTACTAAATAAATATGAGACACATATTAAGGCAGATTAATTCCGCTTCAAAAATTATATATGACAGAACACAAACAATGTAAGGTTATTATGGCAAAATAAATGTATGCCCAAAAGCTATATTGTGTCATGTTATAACAGCATACTTAGCACTATTTTCATACATGTAGATGTACAAATGTATATGTCAAGTACATCATTCTTTGCTTGTAGACAGCCCCGTGCTAAGGGTCAGGACTGCGTCTTAAAATTGGATCAGATTTTACCTGTTCTTAGCATTCCTTAGCCCGTGCTAAGCGTTCACACACATTTTCGTAGCATGGGCTAAGGAATTTGATCTATTAGCCCTTGCTTAGGGGCTGTGTGTGAACACAACTGATAATAATTCTACCGCATATTTACTTTGTATTTTATTTTTGTTTTTTTAGGAATCGCCTCCAAGAGTTACACGAGATGTGAAGTCAACCGCTGTCGTCAAATACAGCAATGTTCAAACTGTTGCAAACTTCTCTAAGCTTGAAGAAGATACTGACTTAAAACTACCGCCTGCAAATTGGTTGCGTAGTGGTGCTAATGTTACTGTCCATAATACAATGGGAACAAGCAAAACTAAGTTTTCTAGGTACACAAAGTTTTCATAAACCGTACCATTTTAAAATTTTTACACAAATTTAATGCAATAACCTTGCATAACCTATCAAGTGTTATAGAATATTATATCCATTTAGTGAAAAATTACTGAATAAATTTGGTACACCACAAAAGTTTGTCAGAAGCTCACGCAATCAAAGTGCCAATCCTTCGGTGGTTTATATATTTGTAGCACAAACATTGTCTGTAAATGTATACAAATTTATGTACCGGTATTTGGTAAAAATAATTCCAGCATAAAAATAAATATAAATGTTCAGTTTATGTGTACTTTTATAGGAGTTAATCTCATGATAGAGTCATTGAATATGGTAGTCAGTTTAAAGACAATAGTATTGTTCTTCTTAGAGAAGAAAGTTATCTAGACTTATAATGACATCAGCAAATTGCAAATCTGATTTTCAGAGTATTGGAGTTTTTTTGATTTATTGTTAAATTGGAAAATGAGATGTAGGTCTTGTTTGTAAATGCACCCCCCAAGATCTCATTGAGGAAAACGATGCCACACGACTTGTGCTTCCCCCCCCAAATAGTGTTCCATTCTTTACTCCCGTTTTTGATTTATTGTTAAATTGGAAAATAGCTACAATGTATAAGTCTTGTTTTTAAATGCACCCCCCCAAGATCTCATTGAGGAAAATAATGCCACACGACTTGTGCCCCCTCTCCCCAATAGTGTTCCATTCTTTACTGTCACCATGTCCACTGTTCTAATTATCCAAATATGCAAATGTGTGGGTTTGTCACCACATGTTGTCTGTTCTTTGTGTTAAGTACATGCATAACACTTCCTAAATAGATATACTTTTTCATTTTCCAGTTTTGGTATGGCCAATTCCTGCCCTGATACTGTGGGTGATGTGGACGTCATATCAGCTGCCGAGGTAACAAAGTTGTACTAGGATAAGTTATTACATGTCATAACCATTTTGACATATGAGAAATTCAATGAAAAAAATCATAAAAATGTGAAATGCTACATGATGGAATTATAGTGTTTAAAAAGTAAATGTTATTTTGCTATTCTGTGTATACATGTACATGTATGCTAGGAGGCAATGGAACTTCATCATGCATGCATGTATAACTGTTTATTATCTCAAAATTTTGTTTTCTGCTCTTCTCTTCTAGAACATCAAGGACCTTCTCAAGATTCCGTTCAGCAAGGGTCAAGTTAGCATAGCGGTTCATCGGATTGGTAGATCACTATTTTTAGATGAATTTGATGTTTATAGACATTTACGATCAGCACCACAGGTA